CTTATTCTAAAAAAGATGTTAGTAATGCTCTCAAGGTCACTGTTATGCAAAATCCAATCCACTACCTGATTAATCATAATTAAACATCCACTCCTCACCTGAGTGACCTTGGCCTTACAATCTGCAAGATACTGTTTGAGAGCACGACAGGCGGCTGATCCAGGTGCAGTTGCATCCATCACATACACAGTGTCATGGACTTCAAACACATCACCAAAGAGGTCAAGCAGCTTTTCCTTCAAAGGAAAAATTAGTACTTTGGTTAAGGACTATATTCTCTACAGAGACAATCCTTATGAATGTATCTTATTGATACAAGACAGAGAACCAAACAAACTAACAAAATCTATATTAAACTTTTCATTTTCAAAAGATAAAACTACAAGAAGCAGTATATAAGAATAAAATAACTCCAAGCACTAATAAATAACTTTTAAATACTTCCAGGGATCTATGAGTCTGTAATATAAAGTACACTACTTTTCTGTTGTTCAGCTAACTAATGAATGTACTCCTTCATAAAAATATATGCAATGGTACAGGAAGTTACATTAATGACTCCTACTCTGTACTCAGATACAAAAATCAATGAGATCACTTTACAAGTAAATACATACATTATTCACATAAATTGCTACATAGATAAGGAATGACACATACTAACATTCTAGTCACAAAAATCATCAAATGTTAAAAGGCACCCTACTGTAAAGTCAAATAAAAGTAATTCCCCTAGATAACATTTTTGAACATATTACAAGAGCACAAGTTCCTGAGGATTTAAAAATACTGTGTTACCTGTAGCAGATGCACTTGTGGAGCAATATATTCCCCTTGGGCATTACGATGACACTGGGCCACATCAGCATGAGTGCCAATTAGGGCCACTTTGGCTGCCTTGCTAGGTTTCCCTCGAACATCTAGAGAGAGTCATAAAATTTGTCCAATAAATTTTTTAAATGCTGATGAAGGTTTTTCTCTTTTCAACAAGGTAAAACAATTATGCATTAGCATACTTACAATAGAAAAGAAACAATCTAAATTTCCAGATTATGTTTAATACCTCCCAGATTCGACTTTATTTTCTCAATATAACACAAAAGGTAAATGTAACTGGCTACAAAGAATCCATCAAAAATACAATAATAAGTATAAGTAAATTAGATATACATTAAGAGAGGACATTTGAAAAAAAGAAAGATGAAAGAATAACAAAAGAAGATAAAAAAATTAAATGAAAAATCAAAACAAGCAAAATGGAAAACTTCAATGAACAAGATAAAACTGACATAACAATGGGGGAAAAAATCACATGAATTAACGTCAACACTTTACTCACTAAGGGGTTCCATAGGTGGAATGCGTGCTTGCAGGAAAGACATCCAAAAAGAACACTGTTGTAGCTGCACATCAAATGGTTGGTTGAGTGGGAACACAATGAGATGAACACAGGAAGTGTTGCCAATAAAATGATCATACACAGGGAAATATGCTTCATGGCCAGAAAATTCCCATAAGGACAGTTCTCCTACACCTGAAATATTGACCTGGAAAGGACGTGATACACTTCAAAAACAAGTCAATATCATAATTCCTTTCCTACATTGTTTATCAAATAATCACCATGTCAATTCATAAACTATTTCATCCTTTATAAATAGGATTTCTAACAAGTGAAGATCTAGACTCAACAATGGTAAAGGTTCACTATCCAAGGTAGTATCATTATATAATGATTTTCATGTATACCTGCATCATAAAGTAACTAAAATCACATTTTTTCAGTTTCTCCTTACAGTAGGTACAGGACAAAGTGAGAAACCTTTTTCTATAACAAATCTGAATCCTTACTTGTTGCACATCTATCCCTCTTGTGTAATTTTCACAAGGTTCAAAGGTAAGAGAGTTTTGACGTGAGCTCACTGGAGACTCCATCTCAAAATGGCCTTTCATTGCAGATGTACCTGTAAATCATTCAGTAAATTAACTTTAATCATACTAGAATAAAAATCATATGATCAAGTGGATATTTGATGAAATCTTTATCAATGACATTATCCCTTCCATCCAGGTGCTTCACTGTCGGACAGGTGCACACAAACACCCATAGACAGTGTCAAGACTCCATGCCTCCCCTTTATATGTTATATTTTTTTGTGTGTAAGAATTTTTTGATTTATTGACATTTTCCAATTTCTACATTTGTCATTTGATATGCCATATGCCTGGCCTACGAGCCGCATGCCCAGGATATTGGCCACTTACATAACCCACTGCCCATACTTTCAGCTCTGTGATTTCCATGAAGCAACCAGATCCAACAGGTTAACCCCCTGGATCCAGGTACAATGGTTACGTAAGTGGCCAGCATCCCAGGCGTGTGGCGTGTGGCTTGGTGCGCATGAACACCCATGAACAGCGACAAGACTCTGCGCCTCCGCTTGAAAAGTTATTTTGTGAAAACTTTTTTAGCTTTATCGCTATTTTCTATCATCATGGCCTTCAGCTGAGATTTTATGCTGGGAAGTTCTCATCACACTGGCCTTCAGACAAATTTTTCCATGACAGTATGTTCACTTCAACTGCCCCTCAAGACAATTTTTTTCATGACATGATGGTCATGTCATCCAGTTTGTAGGGGTTAACAATGAATGGGATAATGTTATTGATACTGATGTCAATAACATCGCGCAGGGCTAGGCCGGAATCTGCCCGTGCAATGGCCACGGCCCGCGACGGAATCAGAGTGCAAGTTTCCATCCAACATCACACTGGCAGAACACCCGGCAATGTTTATTTTTCCGGGTGTCTCATATTTGGGACATCCGTCGTAAATGGGTTAACATTTTTTATCTAAAAAAAAAAAAAAAAAACTTACTCTTCCCAGCTGACCCTATAGAAGTTGAAGATGCATTGCTTTTGCTCCTTCGGAAAAATGAAGAGAAGTATCCTGTCTTAAGCGTCTCAACAAGAGCACTCTTCCCTGAGCCTGAGTGTCCAAGGATCTTCACCTTAATCCGCTGAATGGGGGATGGACTTGGAATGAGTTGCTGGATGTATTCCTCCCGTTGTTGTTCCTGTGGTTCAATTCATTCAGTTAATTACAAAAAGTGAATAATTTCAATTAAAAGTATGCAAAAGAGTAAAGACTTTTTGTGAACATTTTATTTAGTTTCCCCAGGAAAAATATAAATGAAAATAAATATATTTTTCCACAAATAAAAACGCAAAAATATAATGAGAATCATATCTAACAAAGGAGATCTGTGAATTTAAAACCATTAAAAAAAATCTGTAATAGAAAGTTCTACTGTCTTTATTGATCTTTGTATGAATCTCTTCTCCACTAAGAACTTCTGCTTCTAAACACATTTTTTTGTGCAATGACCGGTATATTTGCATTCTTTCTTCAAGTAAATTAACCCACTAACGCCGGTATATTTTGAAGCCAAAAATAAAAGCTTTCAGGCAGCTACAAAATCGGCCGCAGCCCCCTGCTGAGTCGGACCGCAAGCCCCGATACAGCGTCACACCGGCGGGACACATGGCTATTTTTTTTTTTTTTTTTTTCCCCAGGTGTCTCATGTGTGGGACACCCATCGTAAATGGGTTAAACATATAAGCATGTCATAAAAGAACAAATATCCTAGTTCTTTCGCCACTCAGCTTTGACTATTCCAGGAATTTAGATTTTATACATATATTTGTTGTTAGATGTATCTTAATGTCATCATAAGATATTAGACTGTGAAGCCATGAAATTTTCTGTAAAACATTCAGCAAATATTTTCTCTCTCCAAATTGTACAAAAATTATACTGCCAGATTCTGATACCTCTTTCGAACTATGTGTAAATAAACAAATTAATAATAAACATACCCCTCTGAGCTTGTTTAGCAGATCTGCAATATCATCATAGCCTTGGGCCATTGCAGACACCTCCGCCAGAATTCCATCTCGGCTCTTCTGCTCCACTGTGCACCCAGCCAAGCACAAGCACCTAATGGACAGAAGTTTCTTAATTAATCTTAAACAATTTTCGTTGAACAACACAGCAACTATCAGAAATTAGTAATAAGTCACGAATCACCAACAAATCTCATTTTTCCTACTAAGCTGGGATCGGGTATTAAAAAAAAGGGACCTACAGAAAGGAAATTTAGGCTGATATCACTAAAAAAAGTTGGGGAACCACTGAAGCAAGGCTACAAACTTGTGATATTGTGGTACAAACCAGTATCAATCCTTGCACAATTTATACTGAATACAAAACAAACCTCTTCCAAGAAAATACTATAATATGGAATAAAATATCCAAATCAAGTACATTTCTTTAGTTTCAGTGAAGCTAATTTTGTTTGTTAGCATAAATAGCGCTTCTATATACACACCATTTTATTACCACATTTCAAATACATGTGTCAACAGACTGCAAAGTTGAAGAAGTTAACACAGTTACCCCTCAATCATGAATGAACATGGTAGGCACATCATTAGGATTATGTGCATAAATCACATACAATATCACTTTTCAAACACAAAATAAAATGCATAATTAGATACATTTAAAATTATCTAGATATGTAAAGGTAAAAAAAGGATGAGGTAACCAAGAGGTAACTGGTAAATAATAATGAGTGAGGAGGGGGAATGTGGGAGCAAAAGATTTAGTACCAGAACTACAATCCTACATTCACGGCATTTCATTTACAAGAAGATAGGGTCAGGATATCCTGCCTCTCACTACAAGGGAGGTGAGGTTACGGGGGTGGTTTCATGGGTGTGGCTGATGGATATTTGCCAAGTAGTACAAACAATATCAGAGAACACTATATATCTCTCATTAATAATGAAAATGATAAGTCGTGGGAAAAATCCCAACAGTTTTTGACATGCCTCCCACGATTGTGGTGGTAAGGTTTGTGGGTACATTTTGGAGTTTGCCATATTTGTGGTGAATAGGTTTGCAGGGGGTTAACTGCAATAATATGATTCAATGA